TGTTAATAATACAATTAAAATTTGCATTGCTATTAAAGCAAATCGTATTAAGATAATGCGGGGCTAAATTATTAATAGTAGTCAACTATTTTTATGGTTAGCGTTTGATTTCAGGAAATAAATATTTTTAATAAGGGTTTTTTATAAGGGTTCCGTGCACATTAGGAAATAAAAATCTCGTGTTCGTTGAACAAAAAAAAAACAAGAAAGAAAGCAAACTTCGGCAAGCCGAAGTTCATATACCCTTGCAGATATTGCAAGAATTTAACATTTTTGAAAACATTAAAATTATTATTTACTGCGTATATGTTTAAAAACATTGAAGCTATGATGATTAGCAGCTCAATTATTTGATAGTTATTTTATATATTTTTATTATTTCTATGGGAGCTATATGATATAGACGTCCGATTTTAATAAAATCTGAACCATAATTCTGAAATATTTAACCATTGCTATATGTCGAAGAACTGAACAAAAAACTAAAAAACAGAAAAGTTATAATTTTTTTCATTTATTTTTCCGATTGTTCCTATGGGAGCTATATGCTATAGTCGTCCGATTTTGATATAATTTAAACCGTAAATCGGAAATATTTAACCATTACTAAATGTCGAAGGGCTAAACAAAAAATTAAAAAACAGAAAAGTTATAATTTTTTTCATTTATTTTTCCGATTGTTCCTATGTGCTATAGTCGTCCGATCCGGCTCGTTCCGACTTATATACTACCTGCAATAGAAAGACAACTTTTGGGAAAGTTTCATGCAGATAGCTTTAAAACTGAGAGACTAGTTTGCATATAAACGGACGGACAGACGGACAGACGGACAGACTGACAGACTGACAGACGGACAGACGGACAGACGGACGGACAGACGGACATGGCTAGATCGACTCTACTAGTGATGCTGATCAAGAATATATATACTTTATAGGGTCGGAGATGTCTCCTTCACTGCGTTGCAAACTTCTGACTGAAATTATAATACCCTCTGCAAGGGTATAACAACAAGAATTTATATTTTTCTTTACAACTTCACTAGTTTGTAATTGTAAATTGAAATGTTTTTTGAGCAACTTTTTTTTTAAAGAATTTTTATTTAGTAAACATTTTAACATAAAAATTCTCCCTGTTTCAACGCAATTTAGGTTTAAAGTTATCTAGATGAAACTTTCCCAAAAGTCTTCTTTTTACTGTACGGCTATATAGCTTTCATAGGAACATTCGGAGAAATAATTTATAGTCATAGTATACTATTTCACAACTTTATTAAAATCTGACTATATTATTATTATTTTATTTTTGTAATAGCTGTAGGTATATATAAACATCGGCTTGCCGTAACTTGTTTACCTTCTTGATTTGTTGAAGTTTAAAAATACTAACCCACTACCTCTTTCGCCACTTAGGTGATCCCACAACCTTTGGCAACCTGAAGGCCGCCGACGAGACGATGAAGGCGGTGCTGCACTCGCTGGAAAGCGGCAAGTTCAATGGGTACGCCCACACCCAAGGTCACGAGGTGGCCCGCCAGGCGGTGGCCAAGTACAGTGCCCACCAGCGGCCCGACGGCGCCATCGATCCGAACGAGGTGATCCTGTGCAGCGGCTGCTCTTCCGCCCTGGAGTACTGCATCCTGGCGCTGGCGGATCGTGGCCAAAATGTACTGGTGCCGCGACCTGGCTTCTGTTTGTACCACACCCTGGCCGAGGGACTGGACATCGAGGTGCGCTACTACGACCTCCTGCCCGACCAGCAGTGGCGCGCCGATCTCGTCCAGCTGGAGAGCCTGATCGACGAGAACACCGCCGCCCTGCTGATCAACAATCCCAGCAATCCCTGCGGCAGCGTCTTCGACGAGAAGCACCTGCGCCAGCTGATCGACATCTGCGAGCGGCACTATCTGCCCATCATTGCTGACGAGGTGAGTGGCCAACCACCGGAACCCTGTCTAAATAGTGCCACATGCCATTCCAAAAGTACCACCAATACTTATGTTTGAACCAAAGCAAATGTAAAATGTTTTAGGGATTGCTATTTTGGCAAAAGAATTTGTCGCGTATGTTAAATATTAGTGGATGAATTCATTTGAATTATTTATCACAAGTTAGTTGATTTTTCTTTTTCTGTAGTAATTTTCCTATTTGTTTGTATTAGGAACATAGGCAAATGTAAAATATTTTAGGGTTTGATATTTTTGCAAAAGAATTTGTGTAGGTATATATATTTTGTAATTTTAATTATTTATCAAAAGTTAATTAAAATGGCTTTTTCTGAATTACTTTTTTATTAGGAACATAACCAAATGTAAAAAGTTTCGGGGCTTGGTATTTTTGCAAAAGCTATATGAAATATTTTAGTGCACAATGTATATATTGTTATTTGAATTATTTATCGCAAGTTAATTGATTTTCTTTTTTCTGTATTAGTTTACCAATTTTTTTTTTATGTACGAACATAACTAAATGTGAAATGTTTCAGGGTTTGGTATTTTTTCAAAAGAATTTGTGACAAATACTTAGTAGACGTTTTTGTATGCCTATTTTTTTCTGTATTAATGCATTTCCCTTTTTTTATTTTTTTTCCTTCATTAATTTTTCAATATTTTTTCTGTAGAATATTTTAGTTTGATTTAATTTTTAAATTTTTAATTAACACAATTTTTGAATTATTTATTTAAACAAGCAACAAGGTATTTATATTGGCACAATAGTTTAACCCTACTAGTCCTTAAAAAAAACTTGGTAAAGTTCAGGATCGTTGTTTTGGAGCTAATAAAGTACTGACCCCTCTCCGCAGATCTACGAGCACTTTGTGTTCCCCGGATCCAAGCACTTGGCCGTGAGCAGCCTGACCTCGGAGGTTCCGGTTCTGTCCTGTGGTGGATTGACCAAACGATTCCTGGTCCCCGGATGGCGAATGGGCTGGATCATCGTGCACGACCGCAAGCAGCGCTTGGCCAATGCCATTGGCGGTCTGAAGAACATGTGTGGTCGCATCCTGGGCTCCAACACCATCATCCAGGGGGCGCTGCCCGAGATCTTGACCAAAACACCGCAGTCTTACTTTGACGGTGTCATTGACGTGCTCCACGTAAGTGTTCTGCACCTCCATCAAAGCCCAACAATATACTCTCCAAAATGCGACCAAATTTATAAATAAATTTCAGTTCAATATTCTAAATAATGTTATTGCTAAATTCAAAACGTATAAATTGTATATAATCCTTTATATGAGAATAGAGTTCTAGATATGAAGTTCCAATCGGTTATAATTTCATTTTATTATTAGTTGTTCGTCATCTTTCAGTCAAGATTAATACGCAGTAATTGATTTCGATCTCATTTTGGCTTCAAAACTATCAAAGATTTTAACTCTATTGGCATTATTTTGCGTACGTTTTTTTCGATAAACTAAATTTGCGCATTTTGATATGTTAAGGAACGATTTTGCGAACTTCTGAGCTTCTTAATGTGTTTTAACTATTACTGAGTATGAACATTTATTGGTTTTTAAAAAGAAATGTGAGCAGGTATCACTAAATGTCACAAATATACTTAATATAAATATAATTCAAAAAGTATTAACAAACTAAATGATTTTTTAGAAATATTTTGCGATATTTTTGTCAACCTTTTTTTTTTATCAATATACAAATCGTTTTTATTTTGATATGTCAAAATGTATGTGGGTTTGGAAAAAGAAACGTAGTGTGCAAGAATTCGTAGCTTTAATGTATTCTGTATTTAACACTCAATGTGAATTGCATTCGAAGTTCAGAAAAATTGTAGGATGAGGGAGGTATGGGAAATATAAGTTTATAATCTTTATATAATATATGTGTATTAACCATACTTGCCCACTTTCATTCCAGTCGAATGCCACACTGGCCTACAAAATGCTGAAGTCGGTGCGCGGCCTTAACCCCGTGATGCCCAACGGGGCCATGTACATGATGATCGGCGTGAGCATCGAGCGCTTCCCGGCCTTCAAGGACGACACCCACTTCGTCCAGGAGCTGGTCAACGAGCAGAGCGTCTTCTGCCTGCCGGGCAGCTGCTTCGAGTATCCGGGATACGTGAGGATCGTGCTCACGGTCCCGGGGGCGATGATCGAGGAGGCCTGCGCCAGGATGGCCGAGTTCTGCGATCGCCACTTTAAGAAGGACTCGCGCGCCGCCTTCATCGAGCACGGACTGCTGGACGAGGATCTCGCCTTCTGAGCCCAGCTCAACGCTTAACACTTAATAATTAATACTTAAAACTTAATACATAATACTTAACACTTAATACTTAACACTTAATATTCAACACTTAATACGCTTCAGGAGCAAAACATTTATTAGACATTCTAGACTACAATTTTGTATCAAGTGTACACAAGTATATGTATATAATATATATATCCATCATTAACTATCCAATATAAGGAGTATTGTCTCAAAAAATTGCTGGAATAGTGAAGCGCGAGATAGAGAGAGGGCAAGTAAACTGCGGCTAAGTAAGTGGTCGTTACAGAGGAAGAGGTGGTCTGAATATAAATATAAATATATATTATAGAAAGGCCTATATTTGAGCTATCTGGTGTTGTAGGCTGACTGGGGTTCTGTGCAGGATTTATGATAATGTAAGAATAAACAAAGTATTGCTCCCCGGGAGCATAATGATATGATGATGCATTGCTATGCTTTAAAATTGATCATATTTGGATTCAAGATTTATGTTTTTTGAGAAAAGTAAAATGCTGATCTTTCGAAATAAGTTCCATTTGTATTAATGATTTGTTTGCGAAATGCTTAACACTTTAGCAGGAACTGTAGCTTATAACGAACAACTTTGCATACAATCTTTAAACCCGAATTCTCGCCTTCCTGATAAGCTAAAAGTAGGTTTTTAAACTGTGAGTCTTGAAACGTTTTCTCATTTTACAACCTACCATTAACTTATAATATATACGAGAAAACGGGCTTAAAAAACGCAATGCTGTTATATGTATATTCATTGTTGAGCAGTATCTTATGTTGTGCCTGCAGATTTAGCTTGCTATTGAGTAGTGTTGCTTAACACCATTAAAGGTTCAAAGTGATGCTGGCAAGTGTTGTGAAGTGTTATTGAATGGTCCCTACATTTAGGCATTGGCGAATGTTAATGCTTAAAAATGTTCATGCTAGCTAAGGACTTTTAAGTGTCTAAAACTGTGTGAGATTTTGACTTCAGCCCTTTTGGCGGAATATAGCTTTTTTGAATGGAAACCTTAGCACGAGAACCCAATTCCGCCTACAGACTAAATGGGACAGGGGCAGCCTTTTGCCTCTACATGTGGTGTGGATGCATTTTCTTTTCCATCTCGGTCTCCACGCGAGCCTCATCGATTCCGGCCACTGTGGGGAGACCACCCGGCCAGTGCAGCAGCTCCTGCTCGTGCTCCATAATCATGTTGGCCTCCGCTGTAGGGGATTTAATGCAAATTAGTTGTTGGTAAAATATATGGTTTATAATATTATAATTCTGATCTAATCTAATCAAAATAAAATTTAATATTTTATATATATGGTTTATAATAAAAAAAATCCTGATCTTATCTGCAACAACTTAATATATAAATAATGATCTCGGACTTTTCAAATGATTTTCAAAGCAACGGTTGTGAAAATGAATAACATTTTTTTAAATATAAATTCTATTGTCCTTATGAATTCTATTTAACTAATGATGTTGTCTTGCTTGTTGTTTTGAATGTTGTTTTGCTATAAGTAAAATACAAACGGACCTAACTGTTGTGAAGTTATGTATAATATTTAGCTCTAAACCTAACCCTGGTCAAGCCACAAGCCAACCCAATGCCAATCCCAATCCGGAGCTCAGACTCACCTTGGATGCGGTGCAGCTTGCTGCCGTAGGCCCAATCCGTGTAGTAGCCCACCACAAAGGTGAGCGGCAGGAGCGGAGCCAACGCGGAGACCCGCTTCACCCGCTGGTAGTAGCTGGCGCAGCCGTAGACGGCGCTCAGATAGAAGCCGCTCAGCCAGTAGAATAGCTCCCGGTGCTGAGCGATGGCCAGAGCCTGCTCCCGCTGCTTGATCTGGTAGTGCATCTGGATCCAGCGCTCCATCTGTGACCAGGTCGGGTCGCGAGGGATTATATAAATCGGGAGGCAATCGGGCGGCTCAACGGCAAGGACTCACCTTGAGCTCCTGGCACTTGCGGTAGCTGGGATCATCGTGCTCCGGATAGCCACTGCCGTTGGATTTCTTGCACGAGGCCGTGGCACCCATGATTGCTGCTCGGAATTCACGGAATTGCTGCTCTGTTTATGGCCACTCCGGCGGGAGTTGCCACTCCGGCAATGGTCCATCGACCCGGATTAGTGCGCAGGCGTCGTCCCTTTTGGGGGTTGAACACCAGGACACGCCAGAGTGGAATGCCAGCGGAGCTGTCAGTTCAGTTGGCTGACTGAGGCACTGCCTGACTAAACGACGAACGAGTGCCCGAGTAACTCCGCATTCCCCGTCTAGAAAACCTCGGCGCGTGTTTGTTACAAAAGAAAAGTAGGCTTTCCCTCGTTTGCAAACGGGAAAGTGCGGCCCCCGAAACCCTAATATGACTGGTGCAGTGTCTTCGAGTCGAGCAACCCATTAATGTGGCTTCTGTGATAGGAACATAGCTCCAAATCCGCACTCCTCCAGCAGCAATTTACCCGAAAAGTGAGTAAGAAAAGACGATACAATGGGCCAGTCAAATGCCGAGAAAGGAAAAAATGCCAACACATGAGTCGAGCTGATTGCGATTGGAATTGGGACTTGGTAAAGGAGTCCATGCAAGTCTTTGGTAATGACAATGGACTCGGATTTGGCTTGAGGAACGGGGATGGGGTCTGTACCATGCATATACTATACGGTGAGAAGTGGTTGCTCATTCAGGGGTTGCAAATGCAAACCGCCTCCTTGACAGACTTTGATCCACACAGAAACAAATACTGAAACAATCGATGATCCATTTGAAGACGTTCATCTTTAATAATAATTAAAAAAAAAAAATCAGATTATTTTTCTAGACAAAAAGAAATCTGAGATAATATCAAAAAATTGTTCGTTTTTAAAAAACCATTGTGTACTTTTTTTTCTTAACAACTAAAATTTTCTCACGGTGCAGTGAGTGAGCTTGAGTAGTGCACCTTCAGCCCACCTTGGCAGCTGTTCGAATGTAAATATTGACACAGGCTAACGCTCTAATTGCCGACTGTCTGAATGAAGTGATCCATGCAAAGTAGGAGTGAAATTTAATCGGTTATAGGCTGTTGATATTTGGACATCAACAATTAAAGTTGGAACATTTTATCATTCAAATCTAATGGAAACTACTCCTCAAATCATTTTTGTACGTTAATTACTTGAATTTCCTTTTCCTAATTGTGTCAATAATAGAAAATCAATCGATTAATAACAAAATTTTCATTTATAAATACAAAAGGTAAATGAACGATTTAATTTTAAAATTTTTTGTTCTTATTATGTCTTATAAAATTGTCTGACTTAGAAACATTGTGTTAAGAAAGAAGAAAGTATATTTACAAATTGAAATACATATGGGAAAAATCAATCAATCATAATAAATTAAATACGTCACAAACTAATCCATGAATTTAAGTGTTGGATAAAATATACTTATACATACATTTGCGATCAAAATAATATTAGTTTTAAATTACCATAGTGGTTATTCACCAATAAAGAAAATGAAATTAGAAAACCTTTCATATTGTTGTAGTTTTTCAAGGTGAAGGAATTCTGATAATAATTCCTTAAAATACTTTGTTCAATATACTCTAGCAAATAATTTAGTAACAATTTGAGAAAATAGGTCGTCGTTAAGATCACTTCGTATTGGAATAAAATAATTTATAATATTTTATCTATTTTTAAAAGCAAAATTGATACCAGTTTTTAATATATTTTACAAATATTTTGAATAAATATTGCGCTGCTAAATGCAGATTTTTATTTATTCCTCATTTAGTTTATAATTTAAGATTCACTAAAATTTCTAAAAAAGGGTTTCACAAGTAGCTTCCTTACTATTTTCGATTGCTTGTAAAGCTAGTAAGCTAATAAAATATTATTGTTTTGATCGCAACTGTATATACATACATACATATATAGTTTTATTTATTGACGATCGGAGTTGCAATGCCAAACCTCTGCTTACAAAGCTATGAAAAAGATAAGAGGTTTGTATACCCTTGTAGAGGGTATTATAATTATAATTTCATTCAGTAGATGGCTTCACTGTTATTAAACATTTACGCATAAAATCGAAGTACAAGGGTATATTTGCTTCCTTTCTTGTTAGTTATTTATTTGGTAGAGTGTTTATAACAAAACCAACAACGTTTTGGGTTCCACTCCGCACACATTTAGTTGACGTATCCTAGCCTCTTTAACGATATTAATTTCCTCTTTAACCCACAGCAAAAAATAAACTACCGACCGTTCCAGTGGCAGGATGCGCCGTTTGAATGATTGACCGTCTTCAGATTCGTCGCTTGGGTGCAGCTGCTAGAAACAAACGCGCAGGAGGCGCAGGAGGAGGAGGAGGAGGAGGCGGCGGAGGAGGCGGATCAGGAGGAGGAGGAGGAGGCGGTGCGGTACCGGGAGCGGCAGGAGCGGCAGGAACAGGAGCGGCAACTGGAGCGCCAGCTAGTGCAGGATCGGCCCCTGTTGTCGGAGCAAGCGGGAGCGGTGGCCACCGGGAGCACCACCATCAATCGCATCCGTACTCCACGAGCGGCATCAACACGCCGGCGACGGCCAGCACCAGTTCCTCCAGCGGCAACAGTTTGACGCCGCAGCAGCAGCAACAGCAGCACCACCACCACCAGGCCCACCCGCAGCATCACTTCAACCACTTGCATCACCATCATCCGCACTCGCATCCGCACCACCCACATCCGCATCCGCATCAGCACCACCCACATCCGCATCCACACTCCCACCTGCGCCACTCGCAGCCGGCGTCCGCCAGCCAGTTCAGCTTCAATCCCTCGCCGGGCAGCAGTCCTGGCAACGGACTGGGTCTGGGCGCTCGCCAGGATGCGGCCAGTGCACTCAACAGTCCCACGACCATTGTGAACTCGGGCAGCGGCAGCGGCGGCGGCAGTAGCGTCGCCTTCGGGATGCAGCCGTCGCAGCAGCAGCAGCAATCCCTGGCCGGGGGCTCCTCCACCACGGCGGCCCCATCCTCGGGTGCTGGTGGTGGTGGTCACAACAATGGCGCCGGCCTGGGCACGGCCATGAGCGGAGGAGGAGGTGTCGGTGGCATCGGAGGCGTCGGTGGCGGTGGTGGTCTCAATCTCCTTGGAGGATTGGGCGGAATGGGCGGAATGGGCGGCGGAGCGGCTGCCGCCGGCATGGGCATCTGTGGCGGCATCAGCAGCACCGTGGGCAGTGCCGCCATCACCGGAGTGCCGCCCATCGGACTGGGCATCGCCACCGGGATTGGGAACAAGATCATGCTGGGACGCAAGCAAAGCCTCAAGGGCGGCGAGCCCTTCCTGGCCGACTACGGACCCGAGGAGTCGCTCAACGAGAGCGCCGACATCGAGTGGGTCAACAAGCTGTGGGTGCGCCGCCTGATGCGCCTCTGTGCCCTCGTCTCGCTGACCTCCGTGTCGCTGAACACGCCCAAGACCTTCGAGCGCTACCCCTCGCTGCAGTTCATCACCTTCGCCTCGGACACGGCCGTCACGCTGCTCTTCACCGCCGAAATGATCGCCAAGATGCATATCCGTGGTGTGCTGCATGTGAGTACGGTGCACTCAGGGAAATAACTTACGAATATGGCCGATTTCTCAATGTCATGTTTTCTTTTAACGATCAGTTAAATTTGCTGTTTCGAAAACATACAATTTTTCAATACATCACATAAATCACCTTACGCATATGGCCGATTTCTCAATATCATTTTAAGATTTAACGGTCAGTTTAATTGCTGTTTCGTGTGATAAACAAGAAAAAATGAAAATCATATTTGGAAATCAAATTTGACTTTGTGTTCTCCCTTACTGACAAATTACAAACTAGAATTTTAACATGTCATTGAGAAATCGCAACTTGTTACACGGTCAATCGAAATCGAAGTTAATATTTAAATGTTGTATATTATTTTTAAATGTAAATTAACAAAACTGTAGCATTGCTCTATTTTTGCTTCCAACAGACTGAACATATTTTTAAATAAAAAATCAGTTTTAGATAGTGAAAAAAAGAATCTTTCTTATGAAATGAAAACAAAATTCTTTAAAAATTTAAATTTTGTACCGATTTTTTGAATTTCTTAATTTATTTTGATGTACTTTTTTCAAAGGGTGAGGTGCCTTATCTGAAAGATCATTGGTGCCAGTTTGATGCTTCCATGGTCAGTTTCTTGTGGATCTCGATAATTTTGCAAATCTTCGAGGTGCTCGAGATAGTTCCCAAGTTTTCCTATTTGTCCATAATGAGAGCCCCTCGACCCCTGATCATGATTCGCTTCCTACGAGTCTTCCTCAAATTCAGTATGCCAAAAAGCCGGATCAACCAAATCTTCAAGTAAGTTTTGAGGGTTTTTTTTATTAAGTAGTATAATCTTATGAGTCAATTCTCTTTACAGACGTTCGAGCCAGCAAATTTACAATGTGACACTGTTCTTCCTTTTCTTCATGTCCCTGTATGGTTTACTCGGAGTTCAGTTCTTTGGCGAACTAAAAAATCACTGTGTGATGAATAATACTGAATACGACATTCTAAAAAGACCGTAAGCAAACAAAAGCAATATTTTGTTGTATAATAATAATATATATAATAATATGATTTCGTTGATTCATAAAATTATAATATTAAATGCATAGCATTTTAAATTACATGGTTTAGTATTAAAATATTTAAATATTTAAATATTAGATATCAAATAGTTCCTATTTGTTTAAATTCGTTTTTATTAAAGTTAAATTAAAATTAAAATTTAAAATCATTTATAAAGATGCTTAAAAGTATGCAACAGTTATTGGGAGTCTAGATGTGCCACTAAAGAAGACAGTAATTTTTTCGCAGCATACTTTTAGACAGCTTTATTAGTGATTTCTTTATTCTTGTGAGTATTTACTAATAATCTTTTACTTGCAGGATTCTTACGATCAACTCGCTGGCCATTCCGGACACATTCTGCTCGATGGACCCCGACTCCGGCTACCAGTGCTCGCCGGGGATGCGCTGCATGAAGATGGACTTCCTCAGCAGCTATGTGATCGGGTTCAATGGGTTCGAGGACATTGCGACGAGCATCTTCACCGTGTA